TTATTCCTTTCCAAGCAAGTCAATAGTAATTAATGAATTTCAGTTCAAAAACCATGAATTAATTAGTTTGTAAAATGGCCGCTTTCACTAACGAAAAATACGCAGATATCGTTTACATGTATGGTAGAGCAGATGGTAATGGATTAGAAGCACGACGGTTGTACCAAGAGCTACTTCCTGGGAGAAGATTGACTAATGTCAGAGTCTTTTACAATACTTTTGGACGTCTTTATGAGACTAGAAGTGTAATGAACCTGGTGTTAATCCAGGTCGATATCCTGACGCCCACTACAAGTACTAGGAAAGTTGCTGGTGATCTTGGTTTGTCGCCATAGAAGGTTTGGAGTATCATGCACCGTGAACGAAAATATCCTTTTCATGGTATCGGCGTACAAGAACTTGAAGATGGTGATCCTATTCGCAGAAACCAATTTTCTCGTTTTCTCGTACATAGTGACATTGAGAATGAACGGTTCCTGGAACGCATTCTATGGACGGACGAATCCAATTTTTCAAAAGAGGGCATTACAACTTTTCACAACTCACTGATAAGCAGAAAAATCCACACTGGAAAAAACAGGTGTCTTAGCAGCACAAATTTTCCGTTAATGTATGGACCGCCGTCGTGGGACAAAGATTAATCGGTCCACATTTTTGCCTGGAATATTAAACGGCGACATTATCTACACTTTTTGCAAAAAGACCTTCCCGAATTACATGTAGGAGTACAAATTCCAGATGACATGCAAATTGTTTTCCGACACGATGGATGTCCAACTCATTTCCGTTTAGACGCTAAGACAATATTTGGACTTTTCCAAATATCTGGGTAGGCAGTGGTGGACCAATTCCGTGGCCTGTTAGATCCCACGACTTGACACCATTGGATTTCTATGTCAGGGAGCGGACTAAACAGTTAGTTTACACTGAAAAAATCATATCAAGAGGCCATTTAATAATAAAAATTCGAGAAGCTTTTTATTTAATGCAGCAAGACAGGTTATTAAATACATCTACTGAAGTAACACGTAGAGCTCGAGCATGTATTAGAAGCAATTGTTTTCACTTTGAACACTAATAAAGACTGTTTCAATAGTTTATTTTGTTTCGTTTAAATTAATTTATGATTTAAATTGGAAAATCCGAATATCTCGAAAACCGTAAGACTGTACTGAGGTATGTTTGGCTTAAAAGACTCTCAATGGTCTGCCCTATCTCCTCCCCAAAACTTTGTATCGACCTTCCAAACACCCTGTATTCGAGTATTGAGAACATCGCCGTTATACTCAACATTTCCATCGGAGATGCGTACGTTTGTTTATATCGAACAAAAGCCCTCTGAGTGAACATAGAAGAAGACCTAGACAGCCCCAAATGTTGCAAATTCAGGAAGAAGTAAACAAACTGACATTATATTATTATATTATTGAATATTGATGTGCAAAAATCCAAATTGTTGTCATTTATCTCCATATTAGGTACGAGTGTGGTTGAAACACGTGTCTAATAAAAACCTTATTGCACACTAGCGTCGTAAAATCTTTATAGACGGGCAAATCTTTAAGTCGTCCGCAAATTGCATCTCAGAATGGGAGGACGATAAACTAGTCGTAACTATATTTATCGCTTTTTCAACATACATCTTGGATGGAGACTTATCATTTTCCTTCAGCCTCTAATGGGAAAATTTTTGAGATCGTCTGATATATGAGACGCTATCTCCTAAACGAAAGTGATCAGTTGCGGAATGTTTTAATATCAAAAATAATACTGAAGTCGTATCAAAATTTTAAGACTCCTCATGTATTTGTGCCTTGTCATCCTTGATAATTATTTATTATTGGCATATTGTGGTACATGTAGTTGTGAAACCAGCGTGACAGAACAATATGTTACCTACAAAAGTTTAAAAAGATAATACGCTACATAGTCATTCTAAATTCTATTTTCGTGGATTACGATGATCCCAATTTTTATATAACAGATGTACATGTGATGCCGCAACACTCATAAAATGGGCTTACGTTTATTTTAAGAGCATCTCCTAATGTTTGCTTTGTTGGTACAACTATTACAACTATACTTTAATACCCGTCCAATCAATTCATCACATGTTCGCACGATTTTACAACTTGACAATTGTAAAGGACTTCAAGCAACCATTGACATTTTAGGATTCCTATGTAAAGTACCTTTTGTATTATCAACTTATTCGGATAAAACCCAGGATACCTACTTGCAGGTTAATCTATTCTCTAAACACAAAAATAATAAAGTAGCCTTGATACGTTAGTCAATATAAGACAGAATAAATAAATAATGTCTATTTTCATTGGACTACAAGGTAGATATAGTCAAAAAGTAGACATACAGTGAAGAAAACAAACAACAGTAGGTACAAACTATAATAATCAAAGCACATTTAAAAATGGTGATTGAAGTATTCCTCTACTGAGTGAGAGAGGTTTTTCGGAAATATATTTTTTACAACTTTTATACATACCGCCACCGTGTGTATCTATTTTATATGGTCAGGTATAATTTAATGAGCAAGACGTACTTCCTCTGGGAACGTATGTAGCTAAGTGAAAACAATTTTCTAATTATTAGGTGTAGTCAAATATTCTCATTGGTAACTCAAAGAGTTTTTCGAAGACTTTTATTCAAGAAAATGAACACTTAATAATACAATATGTGAATACGACCTTCTAAACGCTGAAACGATCATAAAAAGATAATGCACCACTCTCAAACTACAACTATTGGGAATGCATATTTTTATAATACATAGAAAACGGTGATCGTAAAGTTGTAATTCTATCAATTATCGCCTCATTCCGGAATCTCCTCTAGCTATTGAAACTAACTCCATTAGACTGAATATAAACATAAAAGTGGCATACTTTGGAGAAATCTGATAAACTACTAGTAAAACAAAAGACCATATGCAGACTCAGCTTCATGCACACAGGTCAGAGGGGTTCGGTTTGATGGGGCTGTTTCCAATAGCCAGAAAATGTTCCAGAAGGAAGCTGAAATCAACAGGTTTTTTCAAATGTCGAACTATAAGCGTTTCCAATATATTCAAGGTTAATTCTCGATAGAAAGTTCGTTTTGCATTTTTTTGTAGTTTGAAGATGGCGTAATATCTTTTTGTGATCTTGTTAGGATCTAGAAGTTCATATTTACAGATTTTATTATTTGTCGTTAATTTTCTTGAATATGCATTCAAGAATGTATTAGGAAATTGTGAAAACGAATTTTTCACGCACTTTTTACACCTATTTGAGATAGTTCTGTTTATGTATGTTTGACAATTTTTTTTTATTCAATGACGTTAGTAATTAATTGCCATATCATTATTTCTCATTTATGGGTCAAAATCAGAGAGGTGAGGATTTTAGGTTTTCAAATATCTAAGAAATTAAGTTTCCCTTTGAAGAAAACTAATAAGAGGAGTCTGTTGTATCATTTAACAGGAATCTTTTCCGTGAAGAAGCAGGCATAAAAATACATATTTTGGAAATTCTACCCGCTAACAAGAATTATGCCAGAGTCGTGAGTCATTTCAGGAACACTTTTAAACGATGTCTAAATAATAATATAACTAACGAATTTAAGAATTACCAGCAATCAATTGTAATAGACTTTTCCCTAAATCGGAAAATATTATTTTGTAATTTTTCTTAATCAAAACACTTATTTTTCCATAAATCTTCAGTTCGTGTAAATTCTGCTCCAAAACTTCAATTTATTTTGAAACATTCTTGCACTACATGGTACAGTAACAATATAAATACAAACGCACAAAGGTCGTTTCATCTGGTATATGTAAAATTTAACTACAACATTACGTATTAGTGATTTATTTACAGTTTTTGTGACGTTGAGCTGTTTGGGGGTGTTCCCGAAATGGTAATGAAATACTCTAAATGACATCGATGTTCTCTTTTGACATATTTTATGCATGAAAATAATATAAACGTTTTAGTATTATACCTTTATTTTTATACTTAAGGGATGAGGAACATGAATATCAAAATTCTTAAACTTAAAATGTAATAATAATAAACTTTGTAGATTTAAAATAAATTGACATTAGGCATTAGAATCATTATTACTACATGCATAATTGCATAATATCACAAAGGAGCTTAAGTGTCAAAGGTTGAACTTAAAATCTAACAAAATAAAGAACTTGGTAGTTCTTAAAAAAATAAAACAAAAAGACGTAAAAACTAATATAAAAATAATGAGGATGATTAACTATAACTACATTACTTTTCGAATACGTTCATATTTTCATCAAAACAATAAAAGCTACGATAACCTTTTTTTCTGCAATTTCGGTGTGGGTAAAATTCTAACAACTTGTTCATAGGTGACATATGAAACATTATCTTGTTCAATTTTGAATACTTTCACTGATATCCGCTGACACCGAAGAAAGGTGACTTTTATTTCACCATCTTCATCAACTGAGATGTCAGCGACTGCAACGTATATGTATTTAGAATTTTTATTTTCAGTAGGTACATTTACTAGCAAAAATGTCATTGGGTGTATCAAGTGTGAATGCAAGTTCTCCTTGTCTTCTCCGTACGATAAACCAGCATCAATATCGTCATTATTTTCATGAAGTCGATCTGAAACCGGTTGGAGATTCTCATCATCTGATGTGTCTGATCCGTATACGGCATAGTAAATGCTTTCTCTATTGTTATGAATAGCATTCAGAAACTCTCGATTCATTTTTAAATCTATCATTTCTGACGGCACTTGACTTAAAAAGGTTCCTCTATCTTTAAATGGAAATTCCAGCAGTTTAATTTTTGACAATAGTTTTGAAAATTAATACAGTGTTATGGAAACATCAGAAGAATTCTGCCAAACAATCTTAGTTACATTCGTGATTCCGGGGATAGCATCAATCTTTTCAGGTATGATGACCTGGTTCACTGAATGTCCACGTTGCTGAAATTGCTCTACACCTATTAAGGTTATAATCCACAAGTAAATATTAGTGCGGCTTCGATACTGGGATGTGGGTCCGTCTGAAAACACGTGAAGGCTTTTACGTGAGGCCTGGTACTTAATATTTTCTGTAACGCTGATTTCAGGTGACCCCATACAGCATGAGCCTGATGTTCTGGATTATTACTCACAGTGGCAAATAAAACAGTTTGTAGAGATGTATCCTTTTTAACATACAAAACACCTGTGTGGATAGATAAACTGACCTTTTGAAGCTCCGAATCTAATTGCTTGAATCTCTTTCCCATATTTTGCCAAATAAATTTCAGCAAAATCAATTTCAATCATTGTCTCAGTTTCTTTCAAATTATCTTTCAGTTTTCTTTTTGCCTCCAATTTCTTCTTCACTAAGAGTCTTATCTTTCTTCTTGAATATTTTTTCTTTGGTAATATTCCCTATCTTTTAGTCTCTTCATCTCTTTTTGTTATCTAAAAACTTGCATTTACTTGCACTAGCATTTTTACGATGCCTTTTATAAGCTTTTTTATTCGTTTTTTCGAATTATTTTTCTCTTCATTTTCACTGTTTTCCATGTTACTTGTACTAAAGAGATACCTAAAACCAAAATTTAGTATAGTCGTAGACGAGAACGTTCCCGAAATGACCGTTTCCCAAAATGGCTATTCGATAAATGATATCATGTCACACGCTTGACGCTCCCATTTTAGATCTTGGTTTTGGAGATTATGAACAAGTGAGCTGTAATGTTATTTTGGAAGAAGTATGCAAATTTGCGAAAAAATAATCATCAAACAGCATTCTCCTAGTGACAGGGAATTAAAGTACATTACACACATATAAAACTAAACACTACTTACAAAAAAAATTAATTATTTTTTGCGTAAACACGACACATGCCATTTTCTTTGTATAATGAACTTCACCTTGCTGCTCCCTAGCGCCACCTACTGTTTTTTGATTTAATTACATTGACCAATGCCAACCGCGTTCATGGAATGATTTGATAAATGTCAGACAGAAATTAAAATGATATGCATTTAATTTATAGATATTTTCTTAAACTAATGATGTTCGAAGCTAATATACAAATATGACATTTTTTACTCGTAATTGTAAATATTCTTGACTGAACTATGAAAGATGGTATAAGGACTCGTTCCCGAAATGACTACTTAGGCCTGTTTGTTCAAGAAAAACATTATTATAAAAAATAAATATGCTAAGTGCCTGGTAATTATGCACAGTACCTACATTTTGAAATAATTTATGTAGAAATATCAAGTTATTTCATTAGGAAAAACTTTGACAGAAGCACAACGCTCACCTCTCCGATTTTGACCCTTATCAGCATTTCCATGCACAATTTATTATTATTTACTGAGGGGTAACTCACTAATTACTGTACTGAAGGAAGGCACTAGATTTTCCCGTACTTTTCAAGTTTCCAAAAATTATGTTTGATTACTTCACAATAGTTTTCACTGGTTTGCGATTCTTCCCCGATGGGGAAAAACGCCTATTTTTAACACGCATTCATTAACTTGACATGTACGTAGTATATGTGTCAACCTAATTTTCACCAATTTCAAGAAGACTGATAATGAAAATTTGCACGGGGGTTTAGGGACAATGACAATACAATAATTTTGGGCAAAAAATCGAATTTGAAAATTGTAAAAAAATTTGATTAGTGAACTTTTGAAAAAATCTGTTTAGAAAATTTGGAGAATATTTGGAAAATTCGGAATTTGGAAAATAATTTGAAGATTTGGAAATTATGAAAAAAATTCGACATTTTAAAACTTTGAAAAAAATTAGAAATTTCGATATTTGAAAAGATAAATTTGGATTTAAATATTGAAAAAAAATTGAGAAGAAAAAATGTATCTGAGATTTTGAGAACAGCCGGTTTGATACTAGAAATTCAGCAAATGAATTATAGTTTAAAAAACTAAAAAACACAGTTTATTAGCAAATTGAAATAAAAAGTAGAAAATAATTCAATTACTTAAAAAAATTCATTTAACTATATTTTCATAATAACTCCAATTTTGTCAATAGCAACTAAAAAAATAACTCTTAATATCAAGCACCCCACGCTTTTTAACTATAATCTGATTATTCTTTTTTAGTTCGATTTGCCGTTAAACCGTGTTTTCCAGTTTTTTAAGCTATAATTTATTAACATTGTCCATTTGAATCGCATTTTGCGTCGATGAAATTTCAGAATCGCCAATTAAAAGCAATTTAATTATAATTAATTTTTAATCAATTAGTGTAACTGGAAAACACCACCAGTTTGCAAGGCAGCACATTTGGCGGTTAACTCGATAACAATTGTCAGTGGCAATAAATTAATTATGCCAATTGCCACATTTTAATTGAGTTTCAGACTAACCATATAATATGAATCGTCGGGCGTGTAAATTCCGGTGCCAGGAGCACGACGCTGTGTCGTTCAACGAAATTAATTACATTACCTCCAATTAGAAGCTGCTAATTAGCAAAATAATAGTTTGCAATAAAACGATTAACCGGGAGCAGAAGTGCACCAACTATGGTCTGTTATTGTCGCTTGTGAAATATGCAGTTGTTAGCATGTCACACTCCTGCAGTTTCATATCATCAGCCCTCTCACAAAGTTCATTTCTGATCGATTCTCCACACTTTATATCATCTAAGCTTTACCATCCGAACAACCTGGCTCAGATAAGTAAATCACTACCATGTTGAGTTTTAATTTTTGTATTTTTTTTAACTGTTCCTATTGTTAAGTGGTGATTTAGGTTATGCAATATACTGAATATTATCATCCTTGTCTTTTTTTGTAGGGATTAGTTGCTTACTCTTGTCTTACCTTGTTACATGTATCCATCTATGTAAAGGAGGATAGGAGTTTGTCGATTGATAACTCAGTTTGTTCAGTATAGTTATTGAATTTCGTTGGTTTATCTTATCTTGTGTTGTCTTACGCTCTGTCCTGTAGAGTGGACAATTTATTGAGTATGGGCAGATAGCTTGGCGGAAAACTTGATGTCTGCACATTTCAACAAGTGGAAATACGATTTGTTCTTCTTTGAGACTACTAAGTGTTATACTAAATTTGACTCATTCATTCCTTGATTCAATTCACCTATTTCGACTACCTTTATCTTCGTGATTACGTATTGATTACCGTGAAGAAGATATGTTCGACAGGAAACCAAGTAACGGAAAAAAACAGTTTTTTTCCAACACAATACTGAATCGCTGAAAAAGGAAGATGTACTACGTGTGAAATTATACAATCAATGAACTATGAAATTTACCAAAAGAAAGTCACTGAAAAGGGTTTGGCCTAGGAATGGGCACTCTATCCTTAATAAAGATAAACTCAAATTATTAGTAAATGATCAAAAATAGTAAAAAAAAAGTTACTTGATTTTAGCACGTGACATGGTATTACCACAACTTGTGACAATATCTGTACAGATTTATGTTCACTAGAAATGCATCAGATAGACGATAGTTTCTAAGGATTAATAATGATTTGGAGATAACAGGAAACAGTATCATTTCATATAAGAACTATAGATTATTGTTATTTTTAAAATCAAAACTAATAAGCATTCAGTCACCTGACACGAAACACGAATCAGAAAGCGTCACGTCATTCCTGTCGAGCATCTTGTACAAAGAACAGGCTATCATCACGCCATCATTTACAGCTGTTTTTGTCCAGTGAATTGAATATATCGTAAAAATCAACTTCCGCTATGGAATCAGGATTCATCAAAGCAAATAGCAGGACTTTACCCAAAATCGACGCCCTTATGCTGGAAAAATTTCTCGCATCCAACAGTGATCTTTGATCACCGGAATTTTGCAATTTTAAAACTTCAATATAATTATATTATATACAAGTGGAAAATATATTATGTTTTATGGTATTGTTTCAGTTTTGTAGACAATAAACTTTTACTTTGGCATACATACAGAGGTTAGATTTGCGCTGTTGAACATAGCTTAATTTGATTCCAGGTCCTCTCGAGATTCATATGATATGACAGTAAAAAGTGTAGCGTGTCACTCCAATACATTTCACTTGTACAGTTATTATTTTAACGTCATTTAGAATGTCCTATCCTTTGTTTTGTTCTGCGCGGATAATAGGGAAAATTACGATACGGATAGACTTATATAGTAGTGTATTTGAACCTTTGTTTCCTTTACTCAGACCAGTATATCAATAAACTTGAGCACCTGAGAACTAAATTTAATTAATTTTGCTTCAGATTTAAGAAAATGTAATGTGAACAATTGCCTTAAAACGATCTAGACCAGAATAGACTGTTGAATCTGTAAAAAACTATAGGCAGCAGCTCTCCTTGCTGCTGAAACCACTTTCGCCGATTTTTTTCATTATTTGAAACATATTTGAATATTCTATTTAGCGTCTTTATAAAGGGTGGGCCATCAGCTGGTTTCTTTTTTAAATTAGTATTAAAACTACACTCTTCAATAATATGTAACACTCAATACTTTATTCAAAAGAATACACCTTCCAATTATTTATGAAAAACAATTTCAGTTAAATGGCTGCCACGGTTGGACTGGCAGCAGTCCATCCATCCTCTTAACCCAATTTTGAAGCACATTTTAGATAGTTTGTGGGTCAATTTCATCAATAGCTCGACGGATCTTTTCCTTAAGAACATCAATTGTTTGAAGATCGTTAGTATAACAGCGGTCCTTAACAGTACCCCACAGGAAGTAATCCATGAGCGTCAAATCACAGTTGCGGGCTGGCCAATGAACGTCTCCAAAACGGCTGATAACGCGATGATCGAACTTGTGTGTAAAAGGTCGATGCTGGTGTGGCATGTTGGGCCATCCTGCTGAAACCAGAGATTGTGCAAGTGCATGTCGTCCAATAGTGGACACAAAAAACTCCTCAACATGTCTCTATAGCGTTCCCCGTTTACCGTCTCGCTGTTACCATCTTCATCTTGAAAAAAGTAGGGACCAATAATCTCACCACTCCAAAAGCCACACCAAGCAGTTACTCCTTTTGAATGCATTGGTTTTGAATGTGGATTTTCAGAACCCCAAATCCTACAGTTCTGCTTGTTAACGTAACCTCCCAGATGGAAATGGGCTTCGTCCGAAAAGATAAATTGGCGACAAAAATTGACGTCCGTTTCCAGTTGATTTAGAGCCCACACAGAGAAACGATGTCGAAGCGGATGGTCATTTTGTTTCAACTCTTGCACAAGTTGCACCTTGTAAAGAAATAATCCCAGGTCA